ATATATATATATATATATATATATTTTTAATTATAAATATATTATACATATATAAAAGGCTGAGGTCGGAAACAAAATATAACCTCTCATTCTTCTTCCTTCTCTCCAAAGCCATCATGGCAACCATAACCAGAGATGATCAATCCGATTACGATAGTAGCTGTTCCTCCATCACCGTCCCGGATTCCAGCCGGAGCTGGATGAGCAACGTCAGTTTCGGCAGTCGTCGGAGCTCTGTCTCCGGCGACCCTTCTCACAAACCACACAAAGCCAACCAAGCAGCATGGGAGGCCATGAAGCGACTAAGGGTGGAGAAGGGTGGTCGAGTTAGTTTGGATCATTTCAAGATTCTGAAACGAGTTGGCTCCGGCGACATAGGGAACGTGTATCTGTGTCAGATCCGGAATCCGGTGGTGGGTTTGCCCAACAGTTTTTATGCGATGAAGGTGGTGGATAGGGAGGCTTTGGCGATACGAAAGAAGTTGCAGAGGGCGGAAATGGAGAAGGAGATATTGGGAGGTTTGGATCATCCATTTTTGCCGACGCTTTATGCTGAGTTCGATGCTTCTCATTACTCGTGTTTGGTGATGGAGTTTTGTCCCGGCGGCGACTTGCATGCAGCCCGGCAACGGCAGCCGGCCAAGTGCTTCAGTATTTCGTCTGCTAAGTAAGTAAAGGAAACCCTTAGTTGCAACTAATTATCTCTAAGAGGGTGTTTGAGATTGTTTATAAAAACAACTTATTGACTTATTTTAGTATGATACCGGTAATAAGCACTTCTGAGTGTGTGGATGAATAACTTATACCGATGCCAAACCGGTAATAAAGAGTTTTTGAAGAAGTTAGACCCTTCTGACTTATAATAAGTTGATAAGTGCTTTGTAGAGAAGTATAAATTGTTTCAAATAAACAATCCCAAACACACCTTAAATATTTTGAAAGAATTTTATTCAAATTTACATTAATATTTACTATGTACCAAAATAGATACTCATAATAAAAAATAATATATTTAAGAAATATATAATTATTATTTTATTTTAATTAATAAAAAACAATTTTAAAAGATAATTTTTTTTTTCTGTACGTCTCACATTTGATGATGTTTGAACTCTTTAACTTTAGAAAGGTTGGGTTAACAGAGACATATAAAATTTTATAAAAACACTTTGGTAATTAAAAGTGAAGTTGGAAATATAGTAAAGTAATATGCTTTTTTGAAAGTAGACATTTATTGTCTTATTTAAGTATTATTTTGAACGTTAACTAACATGTTTTTATTTTACATTTTTAGGTTTTATGGTGCAGAAATACTATTAGCGCTAGAATATCTTCACATGATGGGCATAGTTTATCGAGATCTAAAGCCCGAAAACGTTCTTGTTAGAGAAGATGGCCACATAATGCTTTCAGATTTTGATCTCTCACTTAAATGCGACGTTGTCCCAAAACTCGTTCGCTCCAAACCTGAACCATCTAGAGCAATTGACCACGACGATGACGACCACGACTTAAAATGTTCGACACCTTCATGCGTCATCCCAATGCAACCTGTCCTCTCTTGTTTCTCATTGCGAAAAACCAAAACCACCCCTCCCACTACCACAATCACTGAAAAGATCGAGTTCCAAGAATATAACACTGAGTTAGTAGCTGAACCCCTGAATGCACGATCAAAGTCATTTGTGGGAACCCATGAGTACCTGGCCCCAGAAGTGATCTCGGGTCAGGGTCATGGGGGTGCAGTCGATTGGTGGACCCTTGGGGTTTTCTTATATGAATTATTATATGGGATTACACCCTTTAAGGGTGAGAACAACGAGAAGACACTCATCAACATATTGAAGCAACCTTTAAGTTTTCCAAGAATTGGTGTGAGTACAAGTAAAGAATATGAAGAAATGGTGAAGGTACAAGACCTTATTGCAAGATTGCTTGTGAAGAACCCTAAGAAGAGACTTGGAAGTTTGAAGGGTTCAGTAGAGATCAAAAGGCACGAATTCTTCAAGGGTGTTAATTGGGCTTTGATTAGGTCAGTTAGGCCCCCAGAGGTCCCGAGTGAGATGATGAAGGTCAGGAATAATAGGGTAGTGGTGCCGAAGCTAATGACCAAGAAACAAAGAGAGGCACCATTTCAAATCCCTACTCATCATTTTGACTACTTTTAGAAAGACATATGTATATAGGGAAACAACTAATCTAGGGTAGTCCTGTTTTTTCGGTGTTGATCTTCAAATTCAGAACTATGTATAATTTTTAATACGTAAAGTACAAACTATTATAACAATGTTCTTTTGAATCAGAAAGTGTTATCCCTAAAAGAGAAGGTTTAGTCTGGTTTTATGTTAGTAATATACTGATTTGTTGATTACAGCATTGAGTTAGAGGTTTCAAGGTGTAGCTGGCTCTCGTTTTCTCATGGATTTGCTTAAATCATCTGTACTAATTCAAGTATTCGACTATCAGCTTAATGCATCCCTTGATATTCGGAATCATATGCATTATGCATATTTTTAAATGTGTTTAGACATCAATAACATTTATAGATATACAGATTCTAAACAAATTGTTGGACATACATTCTTAAACGAATTACATGCTCTAGTTGATACCGTGTTAGAACTCTAGGGTTCCAACCGAGTGTCGATCTGCAATGACCAAGTAACCACAAATCAATTGCGAAGAAGAACCAAAGTGATAAACTGACAATCAACCTGGCATCTAACACGTTGGTGTTATGTAGATCTAGGTTCGAAATCATGAGAATGATCTCTGCTTTTGTTGGGCCATACCCGCCTTTTAAAAAGGTGAAAACTTGCTCGATTTCAGGACAATAATAGCTAGTTTAATTTAAGTACAAATATTTTGTTGTATCTAAATATTACCTCTGATATTTAATTCTATATAAAATTGAAAAAATAACAATTATATATTGATATGCATAAATAAAGCTTAAAAGAAATGAATTATGTGAAAGGGTAGTTAGATGTGATCTATAATTAATAAGAATGCATTTTTTGAAATATTTACTACTTGTAGTCATGGATTTCTTGTATATATATATATATATATATATATATATATATATATATATATATATATATTAATATATGGTTTTTTATAGGTGTAAAGTATGGGGGCAACTCATTATAGCCCCCATGTTTTTTTCTCTCAACAATTCATGTGATCACCATTATTACTTACCTCCTAAATCATGGAAAATATTATTATTTTTTAAATAATAAAAAAGCATCCATAAATGTTACAATTACTCTTTTTATATGTCATAAAATATATATAGCAATTTAATTAATGGTCTCAAAATCTACGCGTTTATAATTCGATCTTTATTTTCATCGGTTGGTTTAAAATTAAGACTGATTTAATCATATGTTTTACAGTTATCGAGTAATAAACAGATATTTTATGTACTTTATAATCAATCAAGGATTCAACTTTATGTATTCAAATAAATGTAACCATTATTATTTTTTGTTTTTTTCAAAAAAATAATAATAATTAAAATATTTTTTTTCAAGATAAATTCTTAAGTCAAATTTACTTTCTTATCCTTTTAAATATTTGATTTAGTAGACATTTTTATTAAATTATATATTACATAATATTATTATTTACTATTTTCTGAGACTGTATTTTAAGATAAAATGGACTTAATTTATTTTAAATAATTTACAACACTTACTCCCTTTATTTGTCTTTTTCAAGGATTAAAGTGAAGTAGAATAATTACAAAATTCTATCATTGTCAATTAACACTTTGATCTTTTCTGTTGGGCATAAGTTTTTTATTCTAGGGTTATAACCTTTTTTTTTTTTTTATTAACTTGGATATCCAACTTGCTATGCGAGCCGAATAATTTTAGGACGACTATCTGTTTTGCTGATAGTCCAGAGTCATCGTATTTGAACCTTCGTGGCCACAAGAGATTTTTATTTCTTCTTGTATTTGAACCTGGAACCTCCTGGTACTTTTGACCTTTAGAGCCAAGCTCAAACCAATCAGACACCATCCTTGTGGTTGGGTTATAACTTGTTTACATAACATAACCACAAAATATCTACTAAAATACATGTTTTAAAAATATTATAGCAGATACTGACTTAGAGCATCTCCAAAATGGAGAACCTTAAGTCAAAATCTTTAAAAAATTACATTAATTTTTACAGATTCCGTATTTTGAAGAATATAACATTGATTATAATATTAAAATATTTTATTCATCTGTTAGAATATTATTTCTCTTTATATATATATATATATATATATATATATATATTTAATTTTCAAAGCTTCTTATTGATGGTCTCACTTGGTAATCATTTTTGGGTTCTCTCCATATTTGGAGAAAAAACCTTTCTCTCTCATACTTCCTCCATTTTTGGAGATAGTTTTAGGGAATATGTTATAACAATATATTGTCTCAAAATCCTCAATTTTCTCTATTTTGAAAAAACTGTTGGAGATGCTATTATTCCCATAGCCTACCACTACAACAAATTTGGGTTTATAGGACACTCCAATCTCTAAGTGTCTCATTGGACCACTTTATAAGACTTAATTTATAGGGCTAAAACATTAAGCGTCCTATTTAAAGGCGTTGTAATAAGTTTATATGACGCTTTTAGACGTCTTAACAAATTTTTAATGACATTTTTAATACAAAGTGTTTGCATTAGCAACTTTATAGAACATTTTTGAGAAATTGTTTTATAAACTCAATTTTTTTATAGGACACTTGTCTTTATAGGACATTTTTTTCTCCAAATAATGTCATATAAAGTTGATAATGAGACGCTTTATATTAAAAGTGTCCTAAAAAACTTATTACGACGTCAAAAAACGTCATATAAACTTAATACAACACCATTAGATAAGACACTTTATTTTTTTGGTCCTATAAACTAAGTCCTATAAAAGAAGTCTATTATGACACTTAGAATTTGAGAGTGTCCTATTAACCCGATTTTGTTATAGTGTACAATGTAATAAGAAGTCATAAATTGAATTTCTTTAAAGCAATCAAAACTTTATTAGCAAAAATTTAAATATCTCCGAGACGTAATATTCTTTTTCGAAAGACGACAACATTTATTAAAAAAAACCCAACAAAAATACAACAAAAAAAAGAGCCACTATGAGGTACAGTAACCCATCAAACCAAAAAAAAACAGACATAAATTAACAGGAATTTAAAAAAAACTACAGAAGAAACTACAAACAGTTCAATCAAAACAGAACCAGTGAACGAAAACCCGAAAGTCTGATATGAAGAGGCAATCCAACATCTACAATGTCATAATCGAATATTACCCTTTAAATTATTAAGATTACGTCAATAAAAATAATAAATAAATAAATAAAATGGAAAATAAAATGAAATGAGTTCAAAAAGATGAAGTCAAAACAAAATAATGAGGAGTCAAGTGGAGGAGGATGTTATGATTTCATCATTCAAAAGACTCTTTCATGAATTTTTGTTCACTTTGTCAGCTCCCATTTTGCATGCGCCACTCACTTTTTCCATTTTCCTTTTTATTTTTTAAAAAGATATTATTTTCCATAATTTCAGTAAATATATATATTTTCATCAGACTTACACATATGTTTTGTGAGATCAATTCTTAACCCTTAGATTAGATTTACAATTTGACAATCTGAACATTTATAAATGTCACGAGACTTCTCAATAATCACAAAATTGTTATCGTGCAACTTTAGACTATTAAATTACTAGCTTATAAAGTTGATCAATGAACATAAATTGTTTTTACGAGTCTCACGTGAATTCGATCCAACAAAACTACATTTTTATTTAGTTATTAATTTATAATGTAAAACAGAAGTTAAGAATGTCATATCAATCCGATCAAAGGATTAAATAAAAAAAAGTAAGAAATGATGAAAGTTATAAGGGTGGTAAAGATTTGTTTGGATGAGAAATCATTCGTAAAATCTACAAATCATCAATTCAAATTATTGTTTTTAATTATGTTATAAAATATCTTTTATATACAATCATTACTTTAGGGGTTATTTGATAGTTGTTGAATGGTTTGATGTAGAATGATTAAATGGTCAGAATGATTAAGACGCTTTTATGATATAGTGCAAAATGAAATATATAATTGTTTGGTAATTGTTTTACAATGGAATTAGCACGCTTAATGGTTAAAGGAGGCCCATGATACAAAATCATTCAGAGGGTTTTAGAACCATTAAGAGACATATTTTTTTTACCAAACAAGATTCACCTCTTAATGATTCAGATGATGTCTCTTAATGAAACTATTAGGAGGTAAACAAACAACTCCTTAATCTATTGTTATATATAATTAAATCATAATAAAAATTATGAAAAGCCCGTTATAAAAGTTCGATAACACCTTGAGTGTGTTTGGTATCCAGACAGAATAGAAGAGAACAACTATTCAGGCTTAGTAAAATAGAACTGGATAAGACAAAATATATAAAATGCCAAATTTACTTCTAATAAGTTATTTATATATTTTGATTAATTATATAATTTATTAAGTTATAATAAAATTAATATTTTTTATAGCATGATATACCATTAGAATATTTTCATCAAAACAACTAAAATGACACCAAAATAAAAAAATTATGTATTTTTTAATTTTTTATATATTTTTTAATTATTAATGTTTAATAAATTACATAAATTAATAAAAGTATAGAAACCACATAAAAATAATATTTTGAGGATAATAAAATGAAAGTTTAAAGAACATAAAATACAATAAATAAGAATACAATATAATAAGGAAGACTTTTGATGTTTTAAAAGAGAATTAAGTTTTTTTTAGGTTGCATTGGTAAAATATTGGTTTGTTCCACCCTGCTCCATGGGGGGGGGGGGGGTTGGAACACGCATGTTCCACCATGTTTATGTATGTACAAAAGTTCCAGTTGATATAGAATAGTGATCCATGTTTTATTCTATGTTGTTCAATGTACCAAACACACCCTTAACGAAAATGTATACGGAAACTCCAATTGAGTGAGATGATATGAGATCTGGTGATTATTATTGTGAATTCGTGAAGTAATCATGGTTCGCAAGGTTATTTAGTTTTATTTTATTTTATTTTATTAAAAGACAATGTCATTAGATATTTGTCTGAACAATTAAACATTTTTACAAAAAGTTTCGTGCCAAACTAAACATTGCACGTGTTTTGTAAAAAGTCTGGTGAGGGATACATTT